TATATATATATATATATATTTCAACCGTACAATTGTGCTTACTGAACCCATGGTTAATGGTGAGGAGCTGGCCCCCCAACCTCATACCACACGTTAGGATCTAAGAGTTCTAGGTACCAGCAGGGCCATGGAAGTGTAATGTCAGCGAAAGAGCAACGTGAACTGTTTTTCCAAAGTTTCATTGCTGAGGACGAGAAGGCTCTCATCCTTCAAGTGCCCGAGAGGGACAGGAGGCCACAGGCCTTTGGATGATGGTGCTATTGAAGACCACTGAGAAAACAGAACCATGGGCGGCACGAGGGAGTTCAGCCAAATTCCCCAGAGAAGTGAAGACGGTAAGACTGGGTCTCACATGCTCATGTTGTTAGGAGAGAGCAGTCCCTGGTGGAGGACATCATGCATGGTAAAGGAGAGGGGCAGCAAATTGAAGGAAGGCCCTTGATGAGATGGGCTGACACACAAGAAAGGCAGTGAGGCCAATGCAGGGCCACAGTGATCCTTGCGTCCTGTGGTGTGTGGGCTGTGTGAGCAGTGAGCAGGAGCTCGCTCACAGGCACCAACGACAACAGCCTCCTTAGCACCCCAATGACCTAGTTCATCTCCACCTTTCCCCCTTACATATAACCAGAACTCCCTTTTTAAAAGAGATTATTTCCTGACTTTGGGCAAAAATTATGCTTGGGATATACCGTGGCAGAAGTCAGAAAGCTTCCAGAGACTCATAAGACAAGAAAAGAAGCTCATAGAGACCCCAACAGCGAAATACAGCAGCAGGGTATCAGTCATGCCTCGGAATGCACTGCTCACCATGTCGACGGCGAAGGGGCTGGGGTCATCCCAGACCTCGGTGGAAAGCGCGTCGCCAATAAGCACCAGGTCCTCAGCCAGCAGTTCCAGCACTCTCAGCACCATCTGTCTACTGCCTAGGAACACAAAGTGGGCAGCAGTTAGAAGGAAGCATAAAACCTTTCTAAGTTACTTGGCTTTCAAATAATCAGCTCACCGGCTCTGTTTGCTAAGTAGCCATACCCCAAATCCCTACTTGTCTTTTTGATGATGGTCTTACAACTGCCCTGACCTGGACCACACTAGGACTCAGTGAGACGGGTCAGGGCACTCACTGGGGACAGACTCAGGGTAGCAGCAATGAGCTAGCTGCCAACACAGTGAGACTGATTAGGAAAAAAATTAAAACTCAAAAGCTGGAACATCTGACGTATAACAAGTGATACAGCACCATGCAGTTAAGACAATGTATTCTTCTTCTTCCCCAAAGACCAACCATTCCCTGTTGACACCAGAAGGCAAAGAAATACCACTGCTGAGGCAATGCCAGTTCTTGGCGACCCTGGGTTGGGTTTCTAAGACTGTGACTATTTATAGAAACAGACAGCTTCATCTTGCTCCCTCAGAGCGGCCCATGGGTTTGAACTGTCAACCTCGAAGCTAACAGCAAATGCTTAACCACCAGGAGTGGCCAGGAAAGCAAAGCCTGGTCAGAAGCAACTCAAGGAGTCAATTCCCCCCATGACATTTGCTGAGCTTAACTTGAGAAAAACCCCATTTCCAAAGGTGTCCGTTCTGGCTCCCAGCAACCCGACAGGGAAGATGAGAACTGTCCCACAGGGCTTCCCAGACTGCCACAGCTTCTTCCTGCAGAACAGCTGGTGGATTTGAACCGCCAGTGCCCTGTTGACTGGCAGCCAGGAGTGTCAGGGTTAACCCATGGCTTTAGCTGTGTGACCAGGACTCCTCTCAAGCCTATGCCCAGCTAAACCAAAGTGAACAAAACATGTGCCTCAGAAATGTGGAGCTGTTAGAGTTGTAGGAAAGAGAAAACAGGAGCCCCAACTCCGGGCAGGGGAGTCCAGGCCCACCGAGATCCTCCCCCCGCCCACCGCATCCCAATGGCCATTCCTGAGGACACAGACAGCCCGCCAGCAGCCTGCGGGCTTGGGTTAATCTCTCAGAACATCAGCTGGAGGGCATTCTTCATGAAAACACTGCTCGTGGTACTCAACGAGGACAAATTATGCCATCATTTCTCACAAAAGGGCACAAGCACACTTAGAAAATGTTATGTAACCAGACAGAGCTGCACAATTATCAATCTGGCTCTCACCAGCAAATTAAGGAAAGGTTAAATGCAAAACCATCAAAGCAAAGGCCGCCCTGCTTATTACTCAGATAAATACATACATATACACTTCCTGACACCAGAGATCAGCTCTCCCTCATTCAGCAGTGTTAGCAGAGAGACGAATATGGAGCATGACCTCTCAGCGGCAGGCTGAGCTCAAACTCAACTGACCGCCACCAGTGGCTTCTGACTGGGAAGCACCCTTGCAGAGTGATGGTGATGAGTTGTATCGCTGACAAGGTCTCACTCAAGAAAGTCTTACCCCGGAAGGTGGGTTTTATGAGTTTTCCTGGCTTTTTCATTTAAGGTGGATCTTTTTGTATATATATTTTTTTAAATAACTTACTGAAAAGGTAAGAAACTGGTTTTGCTTTTTACTCACTTCCTGGCTGGAGTAATGAAACAGTGGGGAGAGCTAGTTGCTGTTGGCAGTAACGTAGAGCACCACTGAGAGTGCATGCCCAAGGGTTTGCATTGTGGCCGGTTCCAGCCAGCTCCCCTCCTCCTGCTCACTTGGCTGCACTGAGTCCCAATGTTCCTGTTCAAAAGGGCCACAGAGAAGCAGACGCAGGGCTGTGCCGAGACACCGGGAGCTCCTGGAGACTTACAGGCAGGCGATAAGGAAGCACGGATGTGCAGGAGGCCCTGACACACATCCAGGGAGCAGAAAGCACAGCGATGATGATGACAATGACGATGATGATATGGAGACCACTCACCTGTCCTCAGGAGAGGAACAGCCGTCTCCAGGACGGAGACACAGAACTGGGGCAGACTGAGCTGCTGGAGTTGCAGCCCCAGGGTGTCCTCAGCCCCCAGCTCGGGCAGGTCCACATGCCCCACGTCCAGGGGAGACAGCGCAGACGTCCTGGAGTCCCCATGAGCCTGACTACTGCTTCCGCTGGAAGACAGACGCATCATGAACCCTGACATATAGAACACCCTAACTGGCAGGCCGGGTACAACTGTGGACAACCCATTAGACACAGCTGTACTGCAGCAAGGAACCCTGGTGGTGCTGTGGGCTAGATGCTGGACTGCTAACTACAAAATCAGAGGTTCAAAACCACCAGCTGTTCCAAGGGAGAAAAATGAGGCTGCCTGTGCCCATAAAGATTTACAACCTCAGAAACAAACCCTGCTTAGCATGGGATTGACTCAATGGTAGTGGGTTTGTTTGGGGGACACTGCTGCAAGGAGCCCCGGTGGCACAGTGGTGAGTACACAGCTGCTAACGAAAGGGCAGTGACGTGAGCCCACTGCTGCTCTGTCAAAGACAGACGGGACCGCCTGCTTCCACAGGGTCACTCAAACTAGACCAAACCCACAGTCACCAAGCTGGCTCCAGCTCACAGTGACCCTGTAGGACAAGGCAGAATAGCTCCACAGGGTTCCCAAAGCTGTGCATCTCTCTAGAAGCATACACACATGCAAACACACACACATGCCCATGCAAACACACATACACACATAGTCCAACACTGCAAACATGCACACATGCAAACACACCCAAACGCGCACATGCGAACACACACACACACACACACACACACACACACACCTAACTGGGCTCCACCAACTTCCTGAGACACAGCTGGCTCACCTGGAAGACACTGCATCCCAGTCCTGGCCGTCCCCACGAGGACGCTGGCCCGTGCGCCCGACCACAGAGGGCCGAGGGCTGCTGCTCCCTGGGGAGGGGTTCTGGGAATGGTGAGCCCCTCGGGCTTCATGACAGTATGACAAAGAAGAATTCTGGGAAACTATGTCTAAGGGAAAAAAATAAGTAAAATGTAAATAGGGAGCTGATATCAGGGGCTCAAGTAGGAAGAGAATGCTTTGAAAATGATGACGGCGGCGTATGTGCAAATGTGCTAGACACATTGGAGGAATGTAAGGATTTTGATAAGAGATATAAGAGCTCCCAATAAAAGTATTTTTTTAAAAAGTAAAATGTGAAATCATCCTGTAGTAAAACAGATCACCATGTTTAAATAACATGAATAGCGCGCGTAGGAGGGTAACAAGCAAGGGGGTTGCAGCATTTTCAAAGAACTTATTTCTGTAAGAATTCAGTAACAATTATGTAGTAGTGATGGCTAGCCCTGCCGTTCATTGTTGGAAGTGCTGGAAGAGATGTCACCAGGACTTCAAAGACCCACAGGGTCACCCATGGAAGATGGGTTTCAGTGGAGAGGGCAGACAAAGACAGTCTGGGAAGAAAGGCCAGTAACCTACTTCCAAAACCCAGTCAACAAAGACCTTCTGGATCACAAGAGAACAGTGTGCGATGCAATGCAGAAGACATGCCTGGAGGCTGAAAGATCCTCAGAATGTCCTACCAATGACTGTGAAGGTGTGGCAGGACCAGATCAGGCCTCATTCTGCCCTGTATGTGGTTGCCATGAATTGGCGCTAATTCAGCAACTACAACACTATGTCTGTGTCCTTGTTTAGCAATATGACTAACAGTCAAACAGTAGAAATACTTCTACTTGAGGGTGGGGAATGAAAATACCTTTACATTGAGTATATCAGCCCCGCCTTTAGGTTTATAACTAACAGAGCTAGAGGGCCTACCAGCCAAGCTCATTCAGTACCAGTCTGAGCAAGACTGCCCAAGTAGAAGAAGGCTAGACCACACATACCTGCCCTTACACTCTGCCAGTGCTACCCCACACCTTCAGGGGACACAACCCCACCAGAATCTCCCAGTCCCTCACTGCTGCCCTGATCCACCTTGACGACCCTCTTCCCCAGCAAATTGCCCTCCAACCCAGGGCCGTAAACCCAGCTCAGGGCTCCCCTTGCTCATCCTCCAACTCTGCTGCTGCTCTCTGCTCACAGCTCTATGGGTGGGCAGCTCTTTCTCTCTCCTGGGAGGGCACTCTGGGATCACTCAATCTAATGGGTCCCCTAACCTGTACTTCCTTCAAGCACTCTTACTCCCAGGAAGGAACTCCTTTAGCTGCCCATGCTACCTGTCCTCACTCTTCTGAAGCAGATGCTCAGGGGGCAGGGCCTTATCGCCTGTGTTCAAGGCCGCATGCCCCCATGGCTAGGACATGGGATGGTAGCTCATGGGTAATGAACAAATACTGACACATGAAATGAGTGCATCTCCAGTGACACTATCTTCCCAGAACGAGACCCTCCCTTGAGAGGGCTGCTGAAGTCAGGGCACACAATCACCGGGGAAGACTGCATCCCACAAGCAGCAGTGACTAAACAGCCACCTACAGAAGCACTCAGAGGAAACCTCCCTGGGTTCTGAAACAGAGCCAGAGGGACACGGAAGTGCTCGCTCTGCAGGGCCTGATTACTAAGACGATGGTGTGGCCTCCTTCAGAGCAGGGCTCTCCCCACGGCAAAACGTACCCATAGGCAGCCAGAAGGCCAGTCAGTGGGGAACTGGCGAGCAAGCCCCTCAATACCTGCTTTGCTGGAGAGGAAGCCGGGGTCCTGGTGAAAAGTGAGCCTGGTCTTCAGGTTGGAGCAAAGCTGCTGCAGGCAGGACAAGGCCTGCAGGGCCAGACGGTGCTGGCCGTGTCCTCCGGAGGCCAGCCTCAGCAGGGCTAGCAGGCCCTGCAGCAGGGACAAGGGTTAAGCGGCTCAGGAAGGAGATGGCTGAGAGGACTTCGGAGACTGCAAACAGTACAGATGACATGGGGCAATCCTCAGGCTTTCCTATCACCACCGTCCTTCTGTCCATCAGGCCTGGGGCCCCGTTCTGATCACGCCAGGCTCTGCCCCGTTTAGGACATGACAGGACAGCGGTCTTCCCGGTCCCTGTTATTACACACATCAGAGTCACTGTGTTCATTAGCTCAGGACCCGCCCCTCATCCCCCTGCAGGCATGCTCCTGCTGGACAGTTAAACCAACACCAACTGTCACCGCGAACTCACATCCCTTTCAGCCCCATGACTGTGATGGGGTCGAGGCAGGTCCCACAGCAGTGGCTCTCCTGTCCCCACCCAGCCTCCCTTCCTCTCCACCCATTAGTCCAACACTGAAGACAGATGGGTAAGCTCTATGTACCCCAGTGTCTCCCCAGATGGAGGTACTGCCTTCAGCAGGGTGCTAGAACAGATCGTGGAGGGGAGAGAGGGGAGTGCAGCCAACTAAATGTGGGACTGCATGATCTACACTGTGTGTCTCTGTCTCCCCAGCATCTGGGTGACTGACATGCACACATGGGACACTCCAAAGGCAGCACTCCTGTCACCCAAGCCTGCAACTCCATCCCCCTTCAGCCCACCCCCCCAACCTGCAGGCCACCACCACCATGGTCAAGCCACAGTAGCTAAACTGAACTGCATGTTTCAATTAAACCAGGAAGACTACCCCTACTCACACAGGTTAGCAAGTCAGTTCTTTAGATAACCAATGACTTGATCTTTAAAATGCCTTAGAGCAGGTTTCCTTCCCAAGCACTCCTTCCTGAAAGATCTGCCTTACCGCCACAAGAAAGCCCGCTGCTGCCTGGAAGCCTCCCGCCACCACAAGGGGCTCACCCGGACCACCTGTGGCCTCTGCAGGAAGGTCTCGGCGGGGAAGTCTTGCATGATGACGTCCTGCAGGAGTTCGCAGGTGTTCCAAATCACAGTGTGGTTGTTACTTCGCAGCGAGCTACGAGGCAGAGGATGGAGTACAGGACAGCTAAGTCACCTGCCCCCTCAGCTGAGGCGCCACTTCCCCTGGATGCCTCTCTGACCTGTCCCCAGTCAGCATGCAACACCAGGGCCGAATAAACCCAGAGAGACGATGCATGTGGGTCCCGAGAGCAACATTCGCACTGTGGCAAGGAGGTGACAGATGGAAAAGGAGGAGAACAGGGGTCCTAATTATGCACAAGGGTGACTCACCAAGTATCAATACACAATCACCCAGCTCAAAAAACCCACCACCAGCAACCTGATTCCAACCCAAAGCGACCATACAGGCCAAGAGAGAACTGCCCCTGTGGGGTTCCTATGCTCTAACTTTTTTTTTCTAATATATCATTTTATTGGGGACTCTTACAGCTCTTATAATAATCCATACATCAATTTCATCAAGCGCATTTGTACATATGCTGCCATCATCATTTCCAAAACATTTTCTTTCTACTCCAGCCCTTGGTATAGACTGTAACTCTTTAGGGGATGAGAAAAAGACAGGGCTTCAACTCTTGTAAAGAGTTACAGTATGTGAAACTCACAAGGGCACTATGAGGTCCTATAAGGTCACTGCTGTAAGTCGGCATAGACTGAATGACAGTGAGTTTCTGTTTTTAGTGCAGCGGTACTTAACCTGTGGGTTGCGGACCCCCTTGGGGGGGGTCAAACGACCCTTTCACAGGGGTCATCAGATTCATAACAGTAGCAAATTACAGTTATGAAGTAGCAACGAAACTAATTTTATGGTTGGGGGTCACCACAACATGAGGAACTGTATTAAAGGGTCGTGGCATTAGGAAGGTTGAGAACCACTGTTTTAGTGGATGGCACGGTCCTTTGACTAGATGGACACAGGGTCTGACGGGGGTGCCAGCGTGGTTTCTATCTGCCCATCATCCTGATCCTGAAGTGGCTGGTGGTTTCGAACTGCTGACCCTGAGATTAGCAGCCAAATGCATAAACACTACACCCCCTCTGTCTGACCCTCACCCTAGCAAGGTGGGCTTCATCCTCCAGATTCTCACCAAAAGGCAGCAGATAACAAACACATTTGTTGAGTTATTCACTGTCATTGAAAGTTTTAACCAAAAGTGAACTTAAGTTAGACCAGTGGCTCTAACCTTCTCAACAGCAACCTTCCTAACACAACGCATGTACCAACTGGTGAGAAACTGCACTATCCCGAGTTTTCCATTCTGATCAATCCCAGACACACAGGGTGGCCAATGTGAGTATCGGCCCACTGAGGGGCAACTCAGTGGTCAACAACTAGGACCACAAACTCGAATCACAAAAAAGAAACAGATCAAGTAAGACATTTCTTGTCTGCTTTGGGAAATTCCGAAAGCATCCGTCTGTCCCCATGGCTACCTTTCCCAGCCACATCCTGCCTTCTGCCTTCTTTCCTGGTGAAAGTGTGTATTATCAACCTGTCCTGTCTGACAGGACAAGAACACCTCAGGGGCTCCAAGCACCATACCTTTCGTTGGAAGACAGGACGTGTCTGTCGGTGGTGGTCAGTGGCAGCCACGGGCACGCGGCGAACTTCACACATCGCACAGCTTGGCTCTCTGTCAGAGGAAGGAAGGGGCAGAGACACAGGGTCAAGAGGAAGGCTTCACCCTGGAAAGCCACTCCCTCTTCCAGAATCCCAAACACACCAAACAACATCAGCTGCCCGTGCTCTCTGGGGTAAGGAAGAGACCTCTCAAAGACAAGAGATCTCGCTTGCCAGTGTAGAAAGACCTCATGTATTATCTATCTATCACACCCCCTCTAGAGGCCAAGCAACCTGCACACCCCATGCTGAATCTAGGCTCAAGGTTCCCTTGGGCTGGGCTAAATCTGAACCCACAAGAAAGTGTCATTGGGAGAAGGGCCTGCCAGCCAGGAGGGGGTCCTTCAGGCTGGTGGGAAAGCAGTCCTGGCCCCGCCTCCTGGCCCCGCCTCCAAACCCTGCCGCAGGGTGTCACATTTCTCCTCTCATTTCAAGTCTCAGTGAGGAAAGCGGAAGTGAAGCCCAGAACAGAAGGGTCCGGATCAAGTATCAGCCCTCAAGCTCGACAAAAAGAAACCAGAGAAGCCAACAGTTTTCAACACAGTTCTAGCTGCTTGTTTTCCTTGTGGCTTTTTTCAGCTTCCATTTAAAATGTTATTGTTCTATGAAACCAACAGCCAGCATCTCACTTAATGGAGAGAAATGGAAAACTTTCTTGACTAGCAGATGATATAATCCTATGTATAAAAAACCCCCAAGACTCCATTTAAAATATGCTGGAACTGGGGGGAGGAAGGGAAAGGAGTACTGATAGTATTGATGATTGTATAATCCCCACCAATGGGATTAATCAACCAAATTGTAAGTGAATGGATATATTGGAATGTGTGAGATATATCAATAAAAATAGTATGAAAGCTCCAGGGC